AAAGATGTACCGCAATGTGGCCTTCACTCTCAGCATCAAGGGCACTGGTAGGTTCATCGAGTGCAAGAATAATAGGGTTTCTTACGAGTGCCCTTGCGATTGCAATACGCTGCTTTTGCCCGCCACTTAGCAGCTTATCATCGACAATGGTATCATAACCACTAGGAAGGGCAGAGATAAATTCGTGTGCGTTTGCATTTTTTGCAGCAAGTTCAATCTCCTCTTGTCCAATGTTTGATTGGCAACCATAGCTTATGTTGGACTTGATGTCCACATGGAAAAGCTGTGGTTCCTGATCATTAAGTCATCAATCTATTATTATAATTTATTTATTTATTTTAAATTCAATTCAGCCATTAGACTTTTCTCATGTCTTACCTGTCCAACATATCCAATATTGTCCCTCAGCCACCCAGTGTCCAGCTCTCTGAGAGGAATGTTATCGATATAAATCTGGAGATTACGATTAGAGGTTTACTAAACTGAAGCCCGGATTGGGAAAAAAGGTTGTATTAGCTCTTCAATTGTATCGAGCACAATGGGAACTTTGACATGAAGCAAATTGGAATTAAATGTCAAGAGATCTTTACATATAGAAGATACTAAAATCCAAACACCATCTAATAAGCACAAACCCTTTATAACATCAAGCTCTAATTAGTGTGAGTTAAACGGTACTATTACAAGAAGCATGATATCTTGTGAGAGAGAACTATAATTACGCAATAGCACACCCAATACATAAAAAGTAAAACACAATGTAATAATTTGCAGTTCATGAGAAAGTTGCGTTAGAACATGACAAAGTTAAATGCTCACCTCACCAGAAATTGGCTCATAGAGGCGAAGCAAGAGACTGATAATTGTGCTTTTCCCGCTACCACTGACACCAACCTTTTTATCCAAAGAGTTGTACTTAAATTTATCATAAATTAATTATACAGTGGAGGGTATAAGGTTATATATGGCTTACAATTGCAACAACTTCATTAGCTTGTATGGAGAAATTCACGTTCTCCAAAATAGGAACCTGCTCGTTGCCATCAAGCTATTAAAAATAATATTAAAGAATTCTTTAATATAGCTCCAAATTTAACCCTTCACAACAGCTCGTTATAGCGGTATGAGCAGTTATTGGAAGTTACCTTCATCCTCGAAGTGTATTGAAATGATACGTTCACAAAGTCAACACATCCTGTTAGCTCCTGCAATTTCACTCCTACATACGAGAAAATGTGGGTTCTTCTTTAATACTTGTCATGATGTAAAAGATAAAAAAATTAGATAAACATCAGATGACCTCCAAGAACGTTGATTACATTCAGTCTAGGATAGAATCATAAAATACCATTTTTATTTTTTCCTCTGAGTAGGGGAGTTAACATGTGCATCAAAATTGGGGTAAGTGTAGTGCATTTGTGAATAGCTGGGGAAATCAAGAATAAAGCTTAAGGTGAAAAACGGGTCTCTTACCTTTCGACTGAAACTCGCTGCTCGGTGGAAGATGCATCAACTGAAAAACTTTTTCAGAGGCTCCAACAGATTGAAGTAAGGAAGCCATGCTATCTTGCAACCTCCAGGCAGCATAAATCAGCCACTCACAATACATAACATACTTGGTCAGTTGCTCAGCAGTAACAGATCCCGTCAAAACAGACATCCCTCCAAAGAGGACAGCAAGAACCTCCAACAAATGATACAACAGCTCGTTAATATTGTTCGACAATTTTTTTTTTTATTATTATTATTATTTTAATTTCTTGGTGCAGAAAGATCAGTTGGAAGTGTTGTAACCGGACCGAGGCATATTCGAACATTGTTTGAGTTCGCTTGTTTATTATTCGAGTAAAAGCTCGCGCTTCGAGCTTATTCATTTAACTGTTGTTCATCAGAGTTCAAGTTAGTTCGTGTTTCAATCATTTAGCAAACAAACTTACTAAAATTGCTTGATTAACTCGAAGTTAATTTGTTCGAACTTGAAAAATATTTTTACAACATATAAATATAGAAAAATATAAATTATTTCTTAAATTAAGCTCCGCAAACATTCATGAACATGCTCGTGTTCCTTCAATTAATAAACGATCCATCTTTTATTTGCGTTCGAATCGGTTAATATACAAACGAGCTCTTGTTTTAGAACATTTGTTTTAATTAAATTGGTGCCTTTAGTTAGAGCATAACCTGGGTTGATCTGTACAGCGTATGAAAACTAAAGTTCCAGATTCCATAGGCCACACTTTCTCGCATGCCAATGAAAGCTAGCCTATCAAGCCATTGTTCGAACCTGAAAGCAAATGAGATTAGCCAACAAGTCTGCCATGCTTCGCTTCTTCAACATTAAAGACTTGAAAAAACAATCAGAACCTCTCAGATTCTTCCTTTTCTGTTCCAGATGCTCTGATAGTTCTCATCAAATGCAATGTTTCTTGTGCGACCTATAATGTTTTGGGTGGACAAAACCTCAAACACAGACAAATGTAGGAGGAGATATGTAGTAAAATTTCAAATTTATAATTACTTCATTGGCCGAAGCAACAGAATCTTGAACGAGCAATGCTGCTTTCTTTTGGTACCTAACAATGACAATATTTGTTTACTCAAAGTTATTAACTGTTTAAGCATAAGCAGGATAAAATTGTACACGTACATCTAAACTTTTACACATGCCCACCAGTATATATTTACATTTGTGACCTCAACTGATTTAACAATTTTTAATAATTTCCTTTAAACAAAAAAAATGTACCTCGTACAAAATAATAACGAGAAAATGTACATGCAAAGTTAACAACCAAATGGAACAGGTCAATAAAGGGAGAGAATGTCCTTATTTTTCTGAAATAAAACAAACCGAGATCTCAAGGAAAATACCCCAACAAGACCAGGTCTCAAATTTAATACGCAGTAAAATGGACTTCTGTGCTAGAACTATCTCACTAAATCCTATCCTTAATGTATAATAATCCATGATATTCTTGACTAAAGAAGCTAAGATATAAATCAAAAACCGTAAAACCAGCTATCAAACTTGGAATATAAAAAAATGCATCAAAACTTACATCCCATAAATAAAGAAAATTGCAGACAAAATAAAGCATATGCCCAGGGATGACAGTGCCAGTGGCCAGGACAAAGTCATCAAGACGATAAATGCACCAATACCCTGCAAAACATTACTCAGTGAAACATAATTGGGGGAAAAATTAAACCAGATTAGTACCTGAACTATGTTTCGGGCGATCAAGTGTATGTCATTTCCAATGATGTTTGATAATCGCTGACAATCAGTACTAATCCTGCTAGTCAAATTGCCAACTGCTTTTGATTCAAAAAACGATATATCCTACAATAAACGCGCACTTACATGTTAAACTAAAATATCGCAAAGATGTCTGAAGACAGCACAAGAAAAGCCCAATATAAATATACTATTTAGTAAACCTGAAGAAGCAGAGAGCTATATACAGTTTGCCTGAGGCGTTTAACCTGCATATGTGAATGGTACAAACTGATGGCTCATATTTTGTTAAACAAAGATAGGGGTGTGAAAGATATATGACTGTTTGTACAGAAGCTATAATGTAATTCACTTGAAAATCAATTTTACGAAAATAATCTCGTAATGTTAAAGTACCAAAGAAAAAAAATAATATCAAATAAAACATAACTTGTTTGACGCACCAAAATCGTATTTGCAATAGCGAAACACCCACTTCGCAGACCGCTGTGATTGGTGAAAATTCAAAATATGTGGCAAGAAATTAATCAGGCTTGAGACATTTTCCTGGGAGAAGACAGGATTTAAAAAATACAACAAAGTATATGAAAATGATATAAGTAACCTGCATATTCCTGAGGTGAGGCACAAGATAACCATAAGTCGTGAGTTTTGAACAAGCACCAACATCTCACCATTTTGAGCGGAAAAAACTGATGCCGCCAGTATTCCAGGCATAGATATCTCCGAAACCTGTAGAACATATAATCTCATTCATACAGACCGAGCACAGAATTATCCTTAAAAACTTAAGGAGAAGAGTAGAACATTAATCATACATCTAAAGTTCTAAACCAATTCATATTTGAACATCATGCCCCCTAATAAAAAAATCTACCTGCAGGCTACAACAACCTTGTTCTTTTAGAGTTTCAAATCGCACGAACTTTTCATCCATTCAAATTGCAAAATCTCAACAATCCCCCTAAATTCCAAAATATGCAGCATGATAGTGATGCAATGATCAAACGAGGAAAATAACTGCTTAACCAAACGAAAACAGAAATCATCTAAGGATTAACCACTAAACTACATCGAAGCAATCAATCCAGACACTACAATCAAATGCGGCCCAAAATACATTCACAGACAGAAACCATGTAACAAAAATACTCACAGCCGCCACAGCTAAAGCACCAAACGCCGTGTACAAAACCCACTTTGCATCAGCTAAGAGGGCCAGTATCTGTGTCAGAGCTTTCCAAACTGTCACCGGGCTCGTTGCATTTGGATAGCCGCCGATTTCCCCCTCGCAGCCACTCAAATCCCACCAGCTTCCACCTGGAATCATATCTCGGATAAACTCGAACCATCCCTCGAAAATGTGAAGGGCTTCGTAACTTGTGTCGCAACAATCCTCTTGATCTCGCTTCAATGCTTTTGTAAGAGATGTATGTCTGTAAACGGAGTTGGGCTGGCGGCCAAAGTGGATTGTGCTTAATAGGGCTTTAGCTATGGTTGAATCGCGAAATTCGAGCTTGGAAATGGAGATAGAAGTTGAATATGAGATGGCTCGGTGGTGGTCGGAGGTGCGAAAGCAGAGTGAAGCTCGAACAGCGGCCATGGAAGCGAGGATTCGAAGGAAAAGGTGATAAAATAAATTGGATATTACGAATTATACGATATAAAAATATAAATGTGAAATAAAATTAATAAAAAATATTGCAAGATAAAATTAATATTTATAAATATGTGAGTGCATAAAAATAATGATTCAAAAAAATATATAGAGTAATTGTTAGTTTTTATTTTTAATTAATTAATGGAATTGTAGAGAAAAAAAAAACAAATAAAATGAATAATATTTTGTAATTTTTTCAATTTCAATAAAATTGTTATTGTCAATTTATATGTTGTTTGCATGGCATTTTTTATTAATTTGAGTTCTCTTTTTTTAGCCACTTGTTTTTCTAATAGTCCTGATGAAATTGACAATAATAATATTGCCCATCAACTGCGAAATTGGGAATTTAGCAATTGGTACTGAATAATAATATTTTAAAACTGCTTGCCCAGTGCAAGTGCAAGTATGCATGTTCAATACAATCTCAAATTTCTTCCAATTTTAGCCCCTTGAGGCCACACCCCATTAGGATTTAGGCCATTATTGTTTTATTGACTATTGACTGATTTTGGTTCATAGGATTCCTATTCATTAAATATTAAACATTTATGATGTATGCTCTTCAACACCATACTAGTACAGAGCCCGTGCAATGCACGGGGTGCAAAATTTTAAGGCTATTTATCCAGACTTATAATTATATATATGAATAAAAAAAATGTACGGGATATATATAGTACGTGCGAAGCACGAGATATATTTATTTGGAGAATATTATATTATAAGATGCAATATTCAATAAAAGTTTATAATACGCAAGAAATTGTACAATGTTCAATAAAAGTTTTATAATATTCAAGTGGAATCTTAAAATCTCTTGTACATTAAGACTACTGACAAAATAATATTTTAATCAATGAGTTTCCTTTCCTTGTAGTCAAATTGTGAATGTGATTTGAGGAGTACAACAAATCGATATATAACTGACTTGTTTTTTTCATTGTAGTTTTTTTTCTTTTTTTTCATAATGAATTTAAAGATATTCTAAAATATAGTAAAAATTAATTTTTTTTATTACAATTAGCAACTTTACTAAATATAAACTCTCAATCTATGGTGTTAATCAACGTTTAAGTTTAAAAAATTAGGAATTTTTACCTCTTTTAATTAACGTTTAAGTCTAAAAAACAATAAAGTTATTATAAGTTTTTTTTCTACATCTTTTAAAACATTAAATATGAGCATGTTAGGGCTAGCTTGTAAAATAATTAATATATTATATCACTAAAATATTTATACTAATAAAAATTTAATTTTAGCATATAAATTTATCCCTTGATATAAGAGAAAGTAACAGTTTTACTTATTGTTGTTCACTATATAATATTTATTATTATTTTATTATATAATGAAAAAGGAATATTGTTAAATAGTGTAGTAGAATTGTTATAAAATTATATGAATTTTTTTTTTTTACAATATGGATTTAATATTTTTTTATGATTTGATAATATAAACAAATCTGTACTTAACTTTGACAAATAAAACAAATAAATATTTTAGCAAGTATTTAATGTATATATTAAATAGGAATATATTTGGTATAATCAAATACCAAATATAATCAAATAAGTCAAAGTGTACATTTTTATTTAGTATTTGATTTTTTTATTATTAAAATCTTTTTATTATACTTACCTTTTTAAAATAAAACAAATAAATAAATCAATTAAATAAATAAAATATTATAATATCAAAATAGTAATGACATTTAATGCAGTTGACTTTTCTGGATAGTAAATGTTGTAAATAGAATATCCTTTTATATAGTATAATACGGAAATAGTAATGCAATAAATGTTGTTGACTTTTCTAGCTACTTAATTTGGTAAATAGTACCCCATTTAATATAAGTATAGATTAATAGGATATATTTATTTATTTTGTGTAGAGATGAGGTTTACATATGGAGCCAAAAGAAAGTAATCTATATATATATAATTGCTAGCTAAGCAATAAATTTTACCTAATAAATAAAACCTAATAAATTTTACCTATGTGGCAAATCATTAATAAAACCTAATAAATAGAACCTAATAAATTTTATTTATGTGGTATTAATACACCCAATCTCATTAATAAAAAAATATTTCATTATATTTTTTTGGGTTAATTAAGACAAAAACTATTATATTTTATGTTAAGTGATTAATAATTATATTTTTTATTGAATAATATAATAGTTAATATTAAAATTAGTAATTATATTTTATACTGAACAATATATGAAAGTTACATAAAATTATATTTTACACTAAAATCAATATTTTTTTATATGATGAAGATGTTGTTTATTAAAAATTTAATTTTTTTTATGTCATAGTAAAATTTCTTAAAATCACATAAGCATATGTTATAATAAATGTAATATTTTTCAGCTAATTAATTGGTCATGATCACTCAAAATTATAAAAAGTATATATTTATTACATTTTATGCAATCAATATAGTGATTCGTATACAATCAAATCGTGTGTACTATTTATTTTAACCAATGATCAAATTTTAAAATATAATACTATTATATAATTTATAATTTTAATATTATATACATAAATATAACTTATAATACTATATGTTTGAAATATAATACAATTATATAACTTATAATTTTTATATTATATACATAAATATAACTTATAATATTTAATTTTATTTACATCTGTGCAAATGCACAGAGTCGAATACTAGTTTGAATTGAAGGCGGGGTTCGAATTTTTCTCATGAGCAAATTCATAATACCTCCATTTTGTTAAAATTATATTCTGTATTGAAATGTTTACCATCATTTGTCAACTTTTGTCCATAGACTATAGTGATGTTAAGAAGTAAGAACCGTCATTAAATTATACGATAGTAAGTAAATAATGAGGACGAGGAGTTTATAAAGATTAATTAACAAATATTACAGTTAATTAAACAAAAAATTAAAACACGTACCATAGCTTTGTACTAATCCCACTTTATTACCTAAAAAGACGTAGGTTTCTTGACTTTTCTCTAAGCAAAAGTTATGTCGGCTTCATGTAAACTCTAATTTTATTTTGATTTTGTCTTTTATAATTGAATTATTAATTCATACACGGTGTTTTAATTTCAATTAATCCTGACCAAGTTTGCAATATTCGTCCACCCACTCTTAATAATTTTGAATTTCCTTGTGACTTGTGATTACTTTGACAGGTCATTAGTTTATTTGAGATTTTAATAATTAGTCGATTCTCTCTAAAAATGAATAAAAGTTCATATCTATGTAAATCTCTCTTGTAAAAAAATGTATTTGGTTACCAAATATAAGCTAAATTTAGAACTTATTAGTTATTGTATAAATTTGTATAATTAAATAAGTTTGATTTGGTAGATTTTTTTTTTTTTTTAAATTAATAAATCTTATCTAATAAGCTCATTTAAGTATGTAACTTTTCATCAAAACACCATTAAATTTCTTAATTCAATTGATTTATCATGTAAGTTTGTCAAACACTTTTGTTATATCAGTCATCAACTATCATTTATAAGCTATCAGTCAATTATAAGCTATAAACTGGTTTTTCAATTGAACCTATCAAACATAGCTATGATTGGAAATCGTTTTTCCTAAACTTAGATTGCTCTAATCCCATAATGTCTAGAATCTAAACAATGTGTGGCAAATAAGAATTCATTTACAATTGCTCTGGAACTCCATATGAATTAAAAAATAATTCAATTTTCGAAGGACCTTAATGCAAAAAATATATTATATACGTGTTATCGGATGATTCCATAACAAAATTGTGTCACTACAATGACAACTCCATGTAAATTAAATATAGGGTCAACATAATATTTAATAGAAATTATGGCAGTGTTGTTCAATCAATTTAATAATCCTCATTACTGTGTAGGTGTGTAAAAGGATAAGATAATGGTAATAATTATTGGGCAAAATAATTATGAGATACTTTTTATTCATAGCAGAGGGGTTGCTTCCTAGAAAGAAACAATAAGTTTGAAAATTATATTATCTGGTGAGAGAATCCAATGAAAATTACTATGTAGCTTTGAAATTGATTGCATTGCACATATGAAATAAAAATATTCATTATAAATCAACTGAATTGGTTCAGCTTTATGCAACTCTTAAAATGTATCAGCTTTTGCTAACTATCAATTGCAAAAATAACACTATTTCGTCATGATCCCAATAAGAAATTAAATTGTATAAATTCTCAAACATTACTAGCTAAACTAGCTTCTAACTTTCCTTAAGCATATTTGATAAAAATTAAAATAATAATAATAATAATAATAATAATAATAATAATAATAATAATAATAAGTTATTTTTTCTATTTGTGTGCTTATTTAATTAAATTTTCCAAAAGCTTCCTAGTTCAGTCGTATCGTATCTTTAAATTAAAGTGTTGACTTTGCATGCATCATGCAATGATGCAAGTTTCTTAATTGGTTGAGGAAGAGATTGGAGAGGAAATTTTTTCAACGGAATTGAATGATTTGATAGTCTAGCCCTAATTAATAAATACTCTACAAAGATTTGATCAATGTAATATTAAATGTGTGTTTGTATATAAAATAACTCATTGTATACTCAATTCATACTTAAAAATTAACTGATCAACTTTAACTTAAATTCAATATCTTCAATATTATCAATATAATTAATAATATATATCAATTATTCATACACATCATATCAACTTTAATTCACTATTCATACACTCAAATAATTTTAATTAACTACACTTCACATTATCTCATACTTTTGCATCAAATCAATTTTAATTATTTTATTTTAGATATTATTTTATTATAAATGCAAAATTCTACTAACAACAAACCATACAACATTTTTTCAAACTTAACCATGATTAACCAAAAAATATCGTTTTGAGTGGATATATTTGTATCCAAGCACATTCTAAGGGTGTGTTTGAATATGAAATAATTCAATTCATACTCAAAATCTAATTCTACTTTAGCTCAATCCTACTATCTTCAATATTATCAATATAATTAAATTATATTAATCAATTATTCTTACACATCACATAAATTTTAACTAACAATTATTTCACATCATCTCTCTGCTACTTTTACGTCAAATAAACTTTAATTATTTTTTTTTCAAATATTATTTTATTTAAACTCAAAATTCCACTAACAACTAATCATACAATTTTTTTCAAAATTAACCATGGTTAACAAAAAAAAAATATTTCGAGCGGATATATTTGTATTCAAGCACGCCCTAAACTTCTATTCAATTTTTTTGCACAGGGTTGTAAATAAAATTTTATAAATTATATGTATAAATATAATATTCAAAATTATGAGTTAGATAATGTGCATATTAAATTTTATAATTTTAGCATTAGTGAAAATAAAAGACATTAATGTAAGTTGTTTGGCTTACATGTGGTTATTTATATTAATTGCAATAACGTAATATTAGCAAATTTAGCTGATTGTGACCAATCAATTAGAGAAACAATATTGAAATTATTTTTATAACAATTGCGTAATAAATTTTAAAGAGTTTGATTATTCCATGAAAATTAACTAAGTAACTGTAATTAAGAAAATGTTTAATGAGCTCAAAAAAATAAATAGCAGCTCGAAATAATGTTGTAGAATAGAATATCATTTGATGTATTTTTATAATTAGTTGGTAGTAGTTAATATGAAATTAAATAAATAAATAATATCATTACTTCATTAATGCAAATGTAATGGAAAAGAGGAGGAACACGAAAACAATTGTCATAATTTTCTTACCAACAATTAGTATATATATATATGAATGGAAAAAAATAGAAAAAAGCAGGAACCATTTATTTTATTGTATGAAATTTTTGTATTTTTATCCACATAAAATCTTCTTTTAGGTCTATCAGTTAACCCGTTTCACATGAAATTTTGACGTACGTTTAAAACAGTGCCTTTCATTTACGGAGTAAGAATGTGGGGCCAATGAAACATGAGAGTGTAAGAAAATAGACCTTGAAGTCATAAAAGCCCCACATAGGATTCTCATTTGACACGCTCGATTGTGCAACTGTCCTTTTTATTACCACCAGTGAAGCATTACGAGGGACCTTGAATTGGGCTTTCCAATTTATACCCCTCTGGACATTCTGGCCAAGTGGGCCCAAACAAATATTTTTAAGAATTGGGGCACAGGAAAAAAATAATAAGGAAAAAAAAAAAAATTGGAGAGCAAAATTTGCCAATTTAAGAAAATTATGAAGCATTTCTGGCCATGAAAAGCAGAAAAAGATGTTGCTTTCCCTTGGCTTCTTCTTGGATTATAACAATATTGTTTTTGTTTGTGAGAGAGTTAATAGAGTGTGCTAAAACTTTTTTAGAATGTGAGTTGGAGTATAATAGGCAATGGGTTGGATTTTTGTTCTCTTCCTATTGTGCAATGTGCATGTGCTTAATCAGAGAGATGGGAAATAATTAAAGATATTATTACAAAGTAAAATTAAGATCTTTCTAAAATAATATGCTTCTAACTATTAATAATCTAGAAATTTAAGTAGGCACAAATGAAAGAAGGAGAATTACAGTAACTACACTCCATAACACAATTAAGCTACCAAAAACAAAATAAAAAAATTAACACATAAGCTCAACAAAGAAGAAATCAACACATAAGCTCAACAAAGAAGAATCTACTGCTCATGGACATTCAAATCTATCTGCAACATAATCAAATTAAGTACATAATAACCAACATACAAAATGCTTAAAAGAATGAAATTAAGATTAGGGAGCATTCGCAAATACTAAACTAAATTAATTTNGAAAAAAAAAAACAAAATAAAACAGATCAAAAAACAAAAGGCCCTCAACTCTTATAACCTCAAAAGTTAAACCCTCGAGTAGATTTACTTGATCAGTTTTCCCTTTCGGCATGGCATAAGAATACTGACTCCAAGTCCGGAGGATTGAAGAACTCCCTAACGCCGTTAAAATTGCAGTTAGAAGACGGCCGGCGCTTTCTGGGCGCTGGAGGGCAGGAGAATTTTTCCGGTAACTTCGACTCACGCGCCGTTGGTGTTGTGGGACACGTGTCTCCATTATCACTATTATCTTCTCTTGCTTTTGTGGCTATAGGCTTTAACGGAGCTCTCACTGCAACACCAACTATAACCCACTTTTTGCCTTCTGATTCTTTGTTCGCTTCAATTTGATGTGTCTTTGAAAAACCCATTAGCCAAAAATGAATAAAGATCGAATTTTTATGGGTGGGAACAAATTCCTTGGCTCAGAAGCTTGTGAATTTGGTCAGGTGAACTCAGGGGACCAAAGAAGATCCTCTTNTACAAAATGAGAGGAATAAAACGAAAGGGAATTTGAAGGGATATGTGTGAGAAAGAAGAGTAGAAGAAAAGCTTTGAACGAGGGAGTAGTGGCGGCAAAAAGGAGGAATGTGATTTGGGCTTTCAAGAGAGACTTTTTATATTGGGGGAAGGAGAGAGAAAAAAATACACAGAGATGGAGAAAAAAAAGATTAAACCTAATTTCGAAGTGTTTTGAAGGCCTTTTTTTTGTGTGTGAAAAATGAGCTTGTATGAGGTTTTTGTACAGTGTGTGACCGTGAATTTGATGGTGGCCCTTTTTTGAAGGCTGCCCGTGGAAAGTTCGGGCAGCGAAAAAATTGGGAGTGAGATTTTGCCGCCAAAATTTGGGGTTTCACAGTGCAACGGCTCCATTTCCCGCGCCATGATGTGTCTCATCACTTTTCCATCAAACGCAACGTGACGACGTCGTTTTGGATTATGCAATATATGGGCTGGGCTTGAGTAACTTCTAGAGACTAGTATAAGTCTCGTGCAATGCACGGGTAAGAGATATTTATTAATATTTATAGTTAAATATTCTTATTAAATTTTACCAAAAAAAAAAATTCTTATTAAATAGTATTTATAAATTTAAAATATGGAATCAGGTTGTAATACAATTTACTTATATTAATTTATTGAAAGTGTTATATAAAGTCTAAATTGTGCAAAATTACATAAAAATGTCTATTTAAAATTAGTATACAACCCGTGTGGTGCATAATAAATTACATTATAGTCATTTCAAAATAAGTACCATTCCAAAATTTTGATTCAGAAAATCGATTTGACTATGTGATTCCATAAAATAGTTATTTTGGTAAAATGTTATCATATATTTAACAGTCTATGTGAATAATAAGTATAAATATAAAATTTATATTGTTTCATTACTTCAAATAATTTATTATTGTATAAACTATTAAAATAAAAAAAATTAAGTAGTTGATTAATTTATTAAATTATAAATAATTGACTATTTTGTTTACGTCCAAGTTAATATTGACCCATAAGTTATATAATTGACTATTTCGTTTACATCTAAGTAAATATTGACCCGTAAGTTATGAATAATTATTTTTTATTTTTAAATTTAAATAAAAATCTTTTTATTTTTTTGTAATATATTATATACTAAATTTAAACCATGTAACTAATAAAGGTAATAGCTGCAAGTTTTGTCAATATATTATATTCCAAATTTGAATCATTCAACTAATAAAGGCAATAGCCGCAATATCTGACCAAAATGATTCTGTACATTAATTTAGGCAGGATTTTTTCAAATTTTGACAAAAAATATTACTCAAATAGTTTAGGCGGGAAACCAAATGTTATTTTACCTCTTTTTAATAAAAAAAAATTTAGATTAAATTAAGTTTATACGTGTAGAGTGAAAAACAATAAACATAAGTAAAAAGATCTCTATATGATTTGTATAATGGTGAACCGTTGACTTTTTATTTATATGTATATAAAAAGATGTACATTCCAAATAATTAAGTTTAGTTATCACGAAGTCCTCTTCATCGTTTTTAGGGTAGATTTATTATATTTATATGGATAATATATCCAGTATAATTGTATTTTTAAGATAATAAATCGATAAAAACATTATATGGAATATATACCTTTGTCATTAGTCTCGACCAATTTGATTACTTTATCTGTATAACTTTGAAATGAACTCTTTACAATGTATATGTTTTTTTAATTATTATTTAAGTTGTATATATTGCATAACTATATATTAAAAAAATAATATTTTTCTATTGAAATGCGATTTATATATATGTATATAAAAACTTATAAATTAATTTTTCAATAAAGATTAAATTTTGTATTTTTATTTTTTATTATAGTATTCCCATTTAAAAAATTGTTACCATGATTAGTGTAAAAAGTTTAACAAAATAATTGTCACGTGTAAAAAGATTAATAAAAAAAATAAGGTTTTCATGATAATGGATTTGTATATATCTAAATCATCTTCTCCTGCAATACCGCAACATCCGTCCGCAGAAACGTGTTCATAAGAGAAGAATTAACTCAAAAACTGAATTTAACCAAATAAATTACAAACTCATTTCCTTTTTTCACGGCTAATTATCTTAAACAATTGCTCATTTGATGGATGATACCCAAGTCTTGAATGACATGGATAAAATTATGTAAAATTAACAAAATGTTTTGAGTCTAGTCTTGCCTATGTGGCATGTAAATAAACCCAAGTCTTGAATGACATGGATAAAATTATGTAAAATTAACAAAATTCACTACAATGGAAAGAGACTAGGTCTCTACTTGGGTCTAAAATAGACTTAAGGGTAGACCGGGTCTCTTTTTTGGCCGTCACATCAGCAAGACTAGACTCAAAGTGGGGTGCATATAATTTTGTGGGATTGAATAGGTCTATTTATTAGGTGCATATAATTTTGTGGGATTGAACCTAAAACATTGTGGATATTCTGAGTGAGACCCACAAAAAATAATAAAAAAAATACTACAAGTACATAATAAATGTACATAGAGGTGTACATAACACTCGAAGTGGGGTCCACTTGATTTTTTATTTTTGTAAGTCCCACTCAATGTGATTATTATGTACATTCCTATATACAATATTATATACCTATAACATTTCTCAAATAATAAAGCAAGTAAACCCCACTACATGTGAGTGTTATGTACATTTATTATGTATTTGTAGCATTTTATGTATTTGATATACTGAAATACAAAATGTTAGATGATATAAGTCTTGAACATGGTCTCAAAACGAATTGGGCTGCTTTACGGGCCATATCATGTGAGCACCACGGTATTATTCGTTTTTTAAGGGCCCACGTTGCTTTTTATGAATTATTGTTCACTAACCTTGAACAAACAACGACAAAAAGCCCAACCCAACTATTTTGCCCTAACCCAAACCCATATTATTTACCGCCATCTCGATACAATCGAAGACCCATAAATTCACAATTTCCCGCCAAATCCATCTCACCAGAAAAATATCCACGGGCCCACGGGGTAATCTGTGCTTACTCAAGGTTTCTCAAAATCCATACGAATCCTCGTTCAGCTGCCGGCGAGTGCTGGAAGACGAAAGTCTACGAGCAACAGAAAATGGAAACTCAAAGACCTCGATCGTTATTTGAAGATCTGAAACTAAGAGAAGTCCATGGATTCAGAGGTGACTTTCACTTTTTTCACTCCTATTATCACCTTTTTTTTTTTTTTNCAAATACGTAACTTCAATTGTTTGCGTTTTGAATTTTGATTTTACGATCGAACTATTTTTGTTGGTGTTCTCAGTAATAAAACGCCCCTATGCTACCGCAGATTTGAAAAATTCGTATCATGTTGGAGCTGTAGCAGTTTAGCACAGAGGCGAGCCTTCCTTCTGCAAGGTTAATTTTGTTCTTATCGTGAGTACAAGTTTGAATTTCGGATGAAAGCTTGTAATTGACATGTTATCTTGTGATGCGTAGCATAGACGAGCACCGAACAGCCACGCCATAGCTCTTGCCAACAAGTGGGGTTATGTTAATTTGTTTGATACTAGGAAGAGGTTTTTGGAGTCGTGTTCTTACCAAGAAAATGCAGGTAAACACAGTTACCATCACTCAGGATGTTTGGTCGTTGGCTATGGTTTTGATGTTGTGGTGAATTTCATTCATATGATATGTTTCCTGTTTTGCGGAAATGGCCAAAGATTCTGAGGTGGGTGGGTCATAACAATGCGATATTTGATCTATGTTGGAACAAGGTGTACATCTGTCTCAGTTCTCTAATTTTGTATTTGTTTTATAAAAATACAGTGGTTTAGTATTTAATATTTATTAATTTAAACAAATTGCTTGTTGATATTGGATAAAGTTATATCGATTGGACCATAGTTAATGGATGACTATCCACTTCCAATATTTCTGTTTTGAAGTTATTTGAAAAGGGCCTATGAGAACTGTGTCTGGCATTAGCATTTATCATACTAATTACAGGCTAAAGTCTAAACAAGCTTTATGCTCTGTTGGTTCTCGCTCAACTATACTCCATAATATATTCTGAAAATGATTTTGTGGTGTAATTGTTATTTGAGCTTGGACATTCAGAATTGAATATGGTTATATATCAAACTGTGGGCCCATGTCAAGAGAGTCAATTCTTTTGCTACATTACATTAGGAAAGGATGTGTGCTTATTGCGTGCAACTTTCCAAAACAAATCCAATGAACTTGAATTTGCTTCAGGTTCAGGGGCTTTACATTGGAGACAAAATTGATAGCAAAGACCGAAGGATTGGTCTCATTTTTTGTTTTGTTATGTTTTCATTTTTTTTCTTTCGTGTGCGTGAACCGTAAGGCAGAACGTAAACTAAATAAGCTAATTACAAATATATGCATACATTGATTTTATAAAAATTGTCCGCGTCGTAACTGCTGACTAAATTTATATTTCCTCCAGTACGATGCAAATACATTAACTGCTTCAGGAGATCAAAGTGTAAGTCACCAACCTTTTTGTAATGACATCAATTGCCATTTTCTCAGTGTTCCATGAATTGAAAAGCTCAATACACTCAGTTGTTCAATTATATGAGTTGTTTGCTGATCAAGCTCAATCTGGTATAAGCATATCAAAGTTTGGGACATACAAGAGCAGAAATGCATAAGAGCACTAACCTGGCACACGGGAAGTGTGAAATCCATCAGTTCCCATCCCAGTAATCAGGGTAAGTAACCCAGTTTCATATCATTATTTGTCCATTTGATTCATTTCATTTGGTTCCATTTAATCTTTCCAAATGCCACTCTTCGAGAACAAAAATAACTTGTTCTCTGTTGTTTCTGGTCTAATTTAGTTATATAATCTGTTATGCTTCCCAGACCTTATTGTTTCTGGCTCAAGAGATGGATCATTTGCAATATGGGACACCAGATGTTTGTACAATACTTATCATAAGCTAATTGTAAAGGAGCAAGTTCCAGCATTTCTTTTCAGTTGCATATAATAGATGATTCAGATTTTTCAACATTTTAGATCCAAGAAATTAAAGTCTGTTTTAAAAAACTACAAAATATGCACTATGCATAGAAGTATCTTAAACACAATTCTGTCAATCAGTCTCTTCAGTTAAACTTAAACATTCTAATCACAATGCTGAATTTTTCAGTCCATTTGATAAAATGCGTGGGGTTCATAATTTTTCTGATCGAAGACATTGCAGGAGAGGGAAGGTATGTTTAGTTTCTTATCTGTTATCTTTTGAAAAGTGTAAACCAACCTTGATTTAAGTGGCTTTAGTTTAGTCTATTATTTTTTTTTTCTTTTTTCAAATTTCAGTGTTATTAAGTTCTGGGACACAAGGCATCTTAAAGGTCCAGTAATTTGTGCATGTCCCAAGCCCGAGTCATCAACAAAGGTGAGTTTTACTCTACATAATGATGGAAATATTAAGCGTTGCTTTCGAAAGAGATGGATAAAAACCAAAAAAAGAAGTCAAGGCCACTATTAGATGCTAAATCTGAAATGCAAGATTACCTCGTAAAAGTGCTCACAGTTCTTAGCAATCCCCCCCGTAAGAGTGCGCATGGTCAACACCACAATTTTTAACTGATTTTCAACAGATTATAGGGACACTAATATGTTAACAGTTTATTTGAGAAAATGAAATATATCTGTTTTTGAAAATCAACTCCAAGCAGCTGTATGCACAAAAGAGAGCCAGAACTTTTAGCGTTAGCTACCATATTATGCTGAATAACTCAGTGACTGTCTTAAATCACCGTAGTTCTAATAAAAAGCTGAATTCTGCAGGGTTAAACTTTGAAGTTCTTGGTACAATTCTTTTTTTTTTTTCTTGGTACAATTCTGTTATTTGTACTAAGATTCTTTTGTAGCTTGTTCGTTTAAAACCAAATTATTTACTTCCTTTCGTAGGAAAAGAAACATGGCATATCCAGCTTGTTTCAAGATCCAAATGCTGTGTTTATTACAGTCTCTTGTATAGATCACAGGTGAACCACTTGCTCCAAATTTTATTTCATATTGCCAGGACTTCTGCCATCTCATAGCCATCAAGTTCTCAAATTTATTGTTCTTTAGTAATGTACTGTCATATTATTCAATTTAAAGGCAGTATGAGATTAGAGATACCTGAAGCATATTTAAAACACACACCTTGGTAAAAGTTACAAATTTTCAGGATATATGGTGGCCGAACTGAGTTATGTTTTGTAAAGCAATGTTTTGTAAAGGTATACTGTTGCAGACCCTCTGCAACAGTAATCAATGCAGCATTTATTCCTGAACTTTTTTGGCACCAAAAGTGAGTTTTAATGTGTTCCANAAAAAAAAAAAAAAAAAAAAATGAAACTTCATTATAATTAGTCTGTGCTCTTCATCATTGTACAATGATTTATGATAAGGCTGAATGATTGTAAGGTTCATCACAAGACAGCTTATTACTCATGAAAATGCAGCAGCAGTAAGGCTTGAATGATTATAAGACATGATAACCGATTGATCGACATATATCAACATGCCAAAATACTGAAAAATATGCCTTTTTTTTTTTCAATACAAGTGTATTTTGCTATAATGGTGTTAGCATCTTTCAATTTGGTAATGGACCAATTTTTCGTTAAAATAAAGAGGGCCCCGTTAAGATATTGAATTTTTGCACAAAAATATTGTACGTGGGCCTATTTAATATCTTGACTTTCTAGTCTCCAATGATGAACACTGAAGAAAAAAATAACACATTTTGATTGAAAAATACGGTGAATAATCGGCTACCTAATGATTAGCAAAATGGACTTCAAATTATTCCTCAATTTCTCCATTCCTTGATGGCAATCTAACTCCAACCTAAACTGTAAAGTATACCGTTTTATTTTTTTAACTTTATTCAAATGAGAAATCCTATATTCCTATTGAATTTAGTTTCTTAATAGTAAAGATGAAGAGTTAGGTATAATATTTTCTTGCCATGGCTTTGTACAATGTGCTTGCTTAGCAGCGAATGGCATCAGTACTTATGTCATAGTTGTTGAGTATTAGACTCTGAGACGATTGTTAATTCATCTAATTGAGTTAGTTTATTATTTCATCTTTCATAGGGGTAGAATTAAATTTTCATGCCTAAGTATAGGCCGGTGACCAAAATTTCATTCTTTTGTCCTAATATCATTATTTAATCCCAGAATTTCTCTAGCTTGGGACATGGTATAGTTAAAAGATATCAGTTGTCCCATTAAAAAAAGTGGGATTATGATATTCCAAATTTTATAGGTTAAAACTGGATTTTGTGCCTGTGATAAGATTTCAATAGGCAGACACACGTAATTGTCTATTATATTTTGGCCGATTTAATTTCCACATTCATATGTACCCACTCTCACTAATTGATTCAGCAAGTCCTTAAAATGTTTTCATCAAGAAATTTTTGGTAAATGATAATATTTTTTAACTCAAATATAAGATGGTGTAATAAAACCTTATGATCATTGTTGTACATATTAAAATATCAGGTTGGTTTTCTGATCAAACATAGGAGCGGTATTGTTCTATTTTTTCTGAGACTCGATCCAAATCATGAAGGTAGGTCTTCTTCTCTTTCCGCATTTGGATATTATTACAATCCCCCTGTTCTATTTAATACCGTTTTATACACACTTATGTATTGCATTGATGTTTTGTGTTCTTAAATGAGAGGTCCTAATATTTATTAAAACACAAGTTTTTATATGTGAACAACCTAATAGTTAGCACGTTAACACTTCATACACTATGAACAAAAATAAATAAAAACTTATACTATTAAATGTTATGCTTTTATTTAGATTGATTTCTACAATATTATGTCTTTTTAGATGAAAATATACATATCTGTAAAAGATATAAGGGCCTAATGATTTGATCGGCCTAACGGAAGAGTTGCATAATTAAAAAAACACATGTTATTGTTGATTAAATAAATGATTGAGCACACAAATAATTAAATAGAAATTTTCGTGCTTGGAATACTTGTAGCTAGTCTCAGCCAAGACTAAAGGAAATGGATACATGACAAGCTATATCAACACTAGGCTTGGGAGTTGGGGTACACATATCTTAGTTGGGTGGGGACTATATGCCCCAAACCAATTTAATTTAAATCTTGATTAAGTCGAAAATAGGTAATGGTGATCATATTTCGAATAGTTGATATGATTAACAATTTAGACTAATTGATTAGCTGGTTATACAATTTTTTTTTTTTTTTTTT